CCGGACGAGTAAAAATTCGCATATATGAGTATAAACGTCCGAATTCTTCATCAATACTATTGGTGGCATTTGGAAAATGTTCTATATTCGTTTTTGTGATTATTGACTTTTCTCTCGTTCATGGAAATTTAGTGATTGGACCGAACTTCTCGTTGGTGGTCAGATTTACGTCGTGCAAGCTGCCACCCAAAGCTAGAGTGGCGGAGGACTGCCGTCTATTCCACGGCAACGATGTTTCCACTATGGTAGATGTCGTTACCGCCTCGCTGCAGTTCGAGACACTGGAAGGCCTGTTCTCGGGTATGAGGTCAATGATGAACAGCGATCAGGTGACACGGCTGTTGGTCAGCTGTAGAATCGGCTCGCTTCAGTTTAACCGTCATGATATGCGTATTTGTTGCGTGAGGAACCTTATCAACGACTATCTTTTGTCCGCCCAAGTGAGCTCCTCTCGGGGGAAATTCTGCCGGTATGGTTTCGGCAGAATTCTCCTTCGCCCCCACGGCCTCCTTGTCTGGAAGTTTATATTGGCGTATGCCAGTTCATATGCCGGTTGGATGTGTGCTTACCCGAATTCTGGGAAGTGCGGAATCACGATGTTGTCGTGGTATGGTATGCACTCTACTTGATCGGCCCCAATAGGTGTTCATGATAGGCTTACAAGGAGCTGTTGGAAAAAGAGAGGTCATTGCTTATTGCCTCTATCCACAATGAGACCTCAGTGGCACTGGGCATCATCATGGTAGGTTGCTCACCGTTCTGATATAACAATGTTCATCATCTTAGCGCACTCCGGGAATTGTGGTTGACGAGATCATACAGCTGCCGGGTGGAAGGACTGCGGCCCACTTCGCCAGCTGGCATGGCAATATGGGGCTCTGTCAGTAAGCGATGAAATTTGTATGTGTTAATGCAGCGTATTCGCAACCGCAGGCATTTACTCGCCAGTAAGGCGGATGTGTTTGAGAAGGTGACTACTGATGGGCTGATGCCTTTCGCGCTCGCCCTGGAAAGAGGGCACCTTGACGTTGCGAAGTTGTTGATGGACAGAGCGGTTGAGCAATACCATCATCAGGACCGTCATAAAGTGTACGAGTACCCTCCTAAGACGATGCAAGCTCTGGATGGGATCTTGGATTGGATAATTGACCGCTCGTCACTGCCGCATGGGGAGCTCGTGAGGACTTCGAAGTCGCCCACTGAGGAAGTTGTCGGGAAAGGAGGCAGTAAAGCTGAGCACACATTGGCTGGGCCGTTGAAAAGCCCTGGACGTGGAATAAGTAACTCTATAGGGTCGCCAAGAAAGGAGTGCTCTGTTGGAGAAGCCCCCCTGACAGTTCACGTTGCACCCCATTATGTTCCCT